CGCACTCACTTCATACCTTCTTGTATATATACAGGGGCGTAGCTAGGGTGAAATGGATGTGTACCCACACAGGCGGAAGAGGCTCGGGGGTATCTGGGCGTCCTCCCCCAAAAAAATTTGAAAATGTATATCGCAGGAGATAGTAATTGAGGCACTTCATTCTGACTACGACAATTATATTTTTAGTAGAACTATTCTCTTCATGAGCAACAAGATGTGATCACTAAAGATCACTATAACTAATCATGTAATTTTTGTTTTATTATCAAGACATGTTGAGCTAACGCACATTCTTAAACTCTCTCTCTCTCTCTTTCTTGCTCTCCCTCTCTGTGTGCGTGCGTGCGTGCGTATGTGCGTGCATGCGAGCGAGCGTATGCGTGTGTGGGTGCGTGTGGGCACGTGTGTGCATGTGCTCAAACACACACATCACTTATAACACATCACATCACATCACGGCATTGTTTAAGTTGCGGTCATTATTCAATGCGTAGGAGTGAACACCGCTGGGATGAGGGCGACAGCAAAGCTCTTTCTTGGAATTGGGAAAAAACTGCAAGAGGGTTGTAGCCTGCTTTGCCACTCAATTATATAATTTAATCTATGCATCAGGTAACGTTTTGTACACCCGCGTGACTATGTAAAAATATTGTTAGTACAACAGATCTAGAGGGGGGTATATAGCTAGCCACCCAATCCACCCCTCCCCCTAATTCCGCCACTGATGTAGTAAGCTTGTGCATAGAGATGTAGAAAGTTTGGACACTGCGCGGCAAAATCAGAATGTACATTTCAATCGATGACGTAACTGATACAGTGGCGCGCCGCGTGGGTGTTATTTGTTTATAAACAATTTAGTCTGACTGACTGACTCGCTCTCTCTCTCTCTCTCTTGTTCCTCTCTCTCTCTCTCGTTCATCTCTCTCTCTCTTTTTCTCTCTCTCTCTCTCGCCCTCTCTCTCTCCCCGTCTCTCTCTGCAATAAAAAAAATGTTTGGTATAATGATGTGTGCGCAACTGCGTATCTGCGTTATGGTAGCTACGCCCCCGATATATTCCAACTAGTATATTATTTCTATGAAAGTAACATACACGCACTCACACGCACACATACACGCACACACACAGTCACACACACACACAAACGCGCGCGCGCGCACACACACACACACACACACACACACACACACACACACACATGTATATAAAAACAAACATATCTATACATGCACATATGCATAATAGTTATATATAATAATCAGAAATAATAAAACAAGCTTTTGTTTTTATTCACTCCAGAATCAATAAAATTATATATATGTATATATATACATACATGACAGTATTCTTTATTTAAGTGAGCATTTAAATTCACATGCATAGATGAGACTTGATTACCTGCCTTTAACTATTCGAGAATCCTCAGTGTGATGACAATGTCGACCAATCAGCATAATCCGTTTGACTATTATAACTATAATAGAACGCGTGCAGCCTC